CAGTACAGCCCTGAAGTAAACACATCACCAATAAGACTTTGTAATATGAGATGAAAGCGAGGGCAAACATCGAGTGATATGCTAGCTAGGCAGCATTACGCAAGAATCACTGATTCTCCCACGGTATCTACAGTAACCCATTCATATTTGTGGGTGTTTGAGCCCATTGTAGACGAGTCTGCCAACCAATGAGTGGGATCTATAAGTAGCCTCAACGACTGTTGTCTGTCAATACTGTTTTTGATACAATATCTGCATCCTTGTGATGATGATGCAGCCTTATCTGCGAGAAAAGCCGAGCTATACTTTTTGTACTAGATCAGTTTCTTGGGAAGGGCTGAACCATTGACCTGCAGACGGATAACTGCAAGAAGAAACAAACATCACCCACAACAGAATATGCTGTAGCTTAAACTGTTGAGCAATAGTGCTGTTGGTCCTGTTGGCTTTCACGGACCAGTTATGTCCATGCATCATGTGTGCCCTGACTGATTTCAACCTAACAGTGCGTAACACTGACCCTCCATGCGACACAATCAATGTTTTCGGTTTCATTCTACATCTGAAGTACAATCCAAGTGAACAGGAAGAGACATACCATCATTATTATTTGATTGGTGCTACCCTGACTGGAACACACTGACTTTTTCAGAAGTGGCTTTAACTTCCAAAGTCCCAAAGTCATCTTCTCTCTATGGGTAATTGCTTTTTAAATTAAGTTACACATAAATAATCCTCGTGGGAAAAACTGTCCTCTTCCAATGACCTCTCTTAACTATTTCTGAACAGAGGTTGGTCACAGCGCACAGCCAGCCAGCGCCTTCTTCAAGGGCAATGAAAGAGCAGCTCTGACATGCATGTTGTTTGGCACACACGGGAAGAACACGCAAACTTCATCCAAAACAGCAGCACTCATCCCATCATGAGAATCATACCCAAAGCTGCAAAAAGTGCCATCATGTAAAAAACAATGGCGTCAACATAACAAACAATGGAGATATTCTCACATGTAGAAAATCTAAATAAGAGCAAGTTCAAAGCTTATCTCCCAAGTTTACATCATTGCCACCTAGTTACTGGTGGTGATACAGTGACCTCATTCTGTCAGATATGTTGAACGCATAGTTATCTGCATGTAGACGGAGCCACAGAGCAGCGACGCGACCAAAGTGCCAGACAGGGTAGACAGTCAACACTAACAAGGTATGAGCAGAAACCTCCCAAAATGTCAAAATGAAGACTGTGACAAAATGAGACCGTCTACACAAACAATTCTCAGCAAAGTCATACACAGAATATCTGACATCGGAGCTAGACTGAGTGGAAGTTAATTGTTTTGGAGGCCACGTTCTGGATTATTTGTTTTCATCACACATTCTCAGACTTCAATGATTCAATGTGTCTGACACAAGGATGGGATGTTAACACAAGCAGAAAGCCTTTACTGAAGCAAAGTGTGTGCTTTCTGTTTCTAAACAAGTACTAGTGATGGTTTCTTTGCCTCTGTTGAAATATAGAAACCAAAAATGACATGCTAATATAGCTGACCCACACTCTGAACCTAGAAATTTGCAGTTTGCTTAATGTGGCATACAGTCTGCTGCTCACAATGGATCCAACATATTCCCCTCCTAACAACTACTTCATTATCAATTTATTTGCCTATTTTTTCCACAAAGTAATAGTCAATTTGTCAATAAAATGTCAGTAAAATGGTGACACATGCCCTGTGTAATATCCAAACACCAAATGTGACATATACGACCAACAGATATTCATCTTATTATCATGTATGAGGAAGAAAAGCATCCGATTCTCACATATCAGAAGCACGAAACCAGCATCAACCCACTTGTCTTGATCAATTTAAAACCTGTATGTGGAAGTTGACCCCAAGCTGCAACAGGACAATACTTTTCAACTGTTTTCCCCCTTTGTCAACATTACTGTGTCAAGAGCTTTGTGAAATTACACTGTGCAATGTTATACCGACACTGGCCAGACACAAAATCTGTAATCAGTGTAGCTTGGTCACACTTTGCAGATTCTTTATTTGTTTATTAAGGTCATTGTTTGACCAATATCAGCCATGTTAACTATCTGACTGGTGCCACTATCAGACGGCAATATCCTGCACATGACAACATCAGAAAGTGCGAGTTAGTCGTACAAGGCAAGTGCCCATAGCACTTTGGTGTGTATTTATACCAGGGTGTACAAGAGTACGACAAACAGGGAGGTCTGGCAACAGATGCTGACTATGGAGCAAGTTCCAGCTTAGGAGAATGTCAATGTTTGTGCCCAATGGTCACCCTATAAGGCACAAAATAACTAAATCTACACCAAGAGTGGGATGCAAATGTTTTTATAAACATGCACCATTGCACCAAACCAATTCCACAATTTGTATGGGACAAACAGACCTTTTCTAACAGAGCGGGCTGTTTTAAGAGGCGTTTTATGGCATATGTAAAACACTTTAAAAGGTAAATGAATGCACAAATTGTATGTTAAACCATTGCACCAGTGCTCTGGATATCTACTAGGGAGAAAGCAGCATGCTGCTTGGTTCAATTCAAGCAAAAAACATCGATTGTGTTGCATGCAGTTCATATTATCCTGCAAGTACGGTACAGTGGAGGTTGCTGCTGCTCCTGTGCAGCTACAGCTAGGAGCAGTCACACTTCCTAGGTATCCCACACCACCTAGCGAGCGGATTCGCGGATGGCCCCTCAAACCATGAGCTGTCAACAGCACCATCTTCTCCACATCACCCACTGTTGATGAATCCACGAGAGGAGCTTTGGGCTCTGTTAGCAGTGTGCAGGGTGTTAAGCACAGGTGGACTGAGCCTATTTATCATGAGGCTTCCCAGTCCGGGAGCACATGCAGAGCCAATGCAAACTGTAAACAAAGGACCCCGACACCTACGAGGTCAGCAACAGGAACACATCTTTACAAGGAGCAAAGACCCGAGAGGACACTCAACACACACTTCAGCAGCACACAGACGACTCGGAGCGATATGTTCATATCAAATGGGTTATATAGCTATCGGTGTCACTCCGCCATGTCCCGCCATCTTGGACAGGCAGCCAGCCATTAACGTTACTTGTAACGTTTGTCAACTCGTTCACACTGACTCCAAACGACCAGAAAACACCCTCAAGTGTTTTAAATGGAGAATGCAATGCCACATAACAACATAAAAGTGTGCCAAAGACACTAGCTCAATGCAAACGCTACAGGCACTAGCTAACCTCACCAAATAACGCAAACGGGTGAGCTGTATTTGATGCACCCTGAAGAAGGCTACGACGTTACTTCCACCAATTTAACAGTTGTAGCCACATATGGGTACTCATGTGTTTAATGCTACATGTTAGTAATAAAACAGTGTTATGACGGCAAAAACTTTCCTCATTTGAGTGTTTCCAGCATTCAATGTGCTACACAAAACCGTGACGACGTTGTGTTTCTGGTGGTACAACTGCAAGTACACAAGGATACGCTGTAGGGAATAACGCTAGCTAACAAGCTAACAGGGAAGGGCGGCTGCCTGATAAACATTAACATATATTTACAAGCTAGAAACATCAAGGGAGCTTTAGCTACTCGGCTAGCAGTTATCTCGACCAGCGACACCGCGTAGCCGCAGGTGCAGGGTCGCTTCATCGGATGAGAGTAGCTAACTAGCTAGCTAGCTAGCTGGCTAAAAGAGGGGCTGCGGCTAGCTGGCCTTGGTCTCCTTAGCGAGTGGGCCACTTGCATTCAGGCAGCCTCGCTACTTTGAGAGCAAATTCACAGCCGTGCATGCTAGTTGAGAGGCTGGAGTAAATCCCAGGGAGCGGGGTGCTGCTTAAATGTAAAACACATCCAGTTAGATTAGCTACCTTCATCAACAGGGCCTTCGTTCTGGCGCCATCTTCATGAAGCTTCTGAAATCCAAACAGTGAGCTGCAAAGCGAGAAGACAACATAGGCGGCTCAGAATCACTTGCAGAGCGGCTCAAAAACATTTTCGACATGCGAGGGGAGAAAACAATTAATTTTCAGCGTGTGCGTGTGTGTGAGTGCACGGGGCTGCTGTTCCGACCTGTCGATCCCGGCCAAACTGTCCCTCTCCTGGGCTGTCAGTGTCGGAAAGTCCTCCTCTGTTTCACTCGCTTTTCCCGCCGCCATTTTCTTTCCCTCATCACCACTAGAAGAAGCCGAGCCGAGACTCCGAGCAGCAGCGCAGGCAGCAACGGCGAGAGACACACCGCACGATTGCATGGAAAATCGCGACGCGGGGACGAACGGTTGGCTCTGCCGAATCAAAGACGGAAAACTGTAGGAAACAAAATGATCAAAAACTTTTTTCCCAGGATGAAAAGATGCGATTCGATATAGTAAATCCTTTCGGGGGGACAGAAGCGCTCTCCGGGTAGCTCCTCAAACGTCACATTTTTCATCACAAAGTGACCCTGTGCCGCTATTTGAACGCGAATAACTGAGTACAGTATCCAAGATGTGAGTATTTGACAATAAAATGCGTTTCGGCCGCGAAGATAAAGTTGTTATAATTGTGTCACCCAAGCGAACCCACGCGCCGCTCTAGCCACGCCCTCTCCCCGCTCTTCAGCCAATGGGAGCGCCCGCATCCCACCATATGACTTCCCTGCTATATCATTCTTTTATCTTAAATATTCATTTTCTCCCTGCAAACCACTCATATTTAACACCACGATTATTCTGGAAGCATATTAAAAAATATTTAAATTATAAAAATGTTTGTTTAATTTGTATTCAAGTGACAGACCCTACTATTCCTGAGAAATAAAATAATTTCCACATGATAAAATACATCGTATTCACTAATATGTATTGACACCTGGGTGTCAGTTGGCCCTCACACACCGGTTAAACGGTGACTGCAATGCATCACTCGCTCCGAGCCTGTGTTTTTACACTTTCCAAAGTCCCGTGAAAATTAATTTACAAATTCAACTTCTGGAAAAATAAGTCGCAGCATTTTATTAACACCGCTGCAACATTTGCGGAGCCTAATCAAGCGATATCAAAGCATTTTAACTTGACGTGGCACAGCATCACACAATGTGGGCGTGGCTTCGCATTGTCAACATCCTGGTGACATAACCAGTTTCTCCAAAATGGCGACGGTGGATCAAAGGGAAGGTGAGCGATTCTGTTTGTTGGAAATTCGGCGTTGTTACCCTTTTAAATATGCAAATACATCACTTTTTTTCACCGACGATAACGACATGAAGACGAGGCCTTGATGTCGGTGCTTTTAATATTCCGAAAAATAAACTAATAACAGTTAGTTTGCGCGATATTGCTGTGGTAGCCATTTGACGCTAGCTAGCTAATGTTAGCTTCCCAAGTCATTTACATAGATTAAACAGCAGCCTGTGGTAGCTGAGCTGCCCCATACAGTTAGAATACTACATTTAAAGGGTCGCTTTTGTGTTTAAATGGCCAAACACAGGGCGCTGACTCATTGAAAACACATCCATAATGTAAAAACTCACCAGTGTAAGGGGTGGAGACAAGAGGTGAAGTGCACCCTGACATTAATGTAAGTATTTTGGTTGTGTACTGTGTCCTTGTCTCGTAGCAGGTCAGGACGACCCAGAGAGTGAAGATGAGGTGTATGAGGTCGTGGACCTGACAGAGTATGCCCGAAGGCACCAGTGGTGGAGCAGGGTGTTTGGGAACAACTCCGGCCCCATTGCTGAGAAGTATTCTGTGGCCACCCAGATCGCGATGGGTGGGGTGACTGGATGGTAAGGCATGGGTGACATCCATAGGTGTACATTGAAATCAAGCAGCACACATTTACGCCATGAACTGATGCAGACCAGGCTTGAATTGGTGCATTAAAATACACCAGAATGCAGAAAAGAATTGCATTTTCCATCCATTTTCATCTGGTTATGTGGGCAGCAGGTTGAGCAAAGTATTCCAGACGTCCCTCTCCTCAGCAACGCTTTCCAGCTCCTCCTCGGGAATCCTGAGGTGTTCCCACAAAAGAGGAGGTATATATAATCCCTCCAGTGTGTTCTAGGTCTGCCCCAGGGCGTCCTACCATGTGGATGTACCCCAAAAACCTCAAACAGGAGGCGCCAGGGAGGCAAAGAGGATGCCAGAGGAAGCTCATTACGGCCGCTTGTATCCACAAACACATTCTTTCAGTCGCTACCCAGAGCTTGTGACCATAGGTGAGGGTTGGGGCGTGGATGGAAAGCCTTGCTTCTGGCACAGCTCCATTTTACCCTCACTCGTTAACAAGACCACAAGACATACTGCATTTTGATGCTCAAAATAAAATGGCGGACGCCCCCCAAACCCCCCCCGTTTGATAGCGTCTCCCAAATGCTAAAACAAAACCTATGCCCTTGGTGACATCTGTGACAACAGAGATAAAAATACTGTCCAACATTACACCTACCTTACTGACTTCAGTAATGTTTGAAGAACTGTTGAGTTTAGAATTTACAGCCAAGTAGGACCCACATATGGGAGGTGGAAGGGAAAGCTTGGAGAGCAGTAATCATGTCCATCCTAAATATAAGCAATGACAACATATTCAAATATTTTTTTTAATTGTACACAAAAAAACTGCAGGCAACCGGCCACACGACCTGAGTAATGTACTCATCTAAATCAGGAAAGAGAGAGAACACACATACGAGTAACACACATATGAGTAAAGCAGATTTAGGGAGGGGCCCAGCCATTTCTGTGGGCGGGCCTGCAACCAAGGCTTCATTATCTACACATCTGAGTGCACAAGTGTAACAAACACTCCTCTCTTCCTCTCAACACATCCAGGTGTGCTGGTTACCTCTTTCAGAGAGTCGGGAAGATTGCCGCCACCGCTGTTGGAGGAGGGTTCCTTCTTTTACAGGCAAGAGTACCATAAGATTGTGTTTATGTAGCCTCAGTAATTAGATATTTACTACATCTACTCTGCCTCTGATGGGATAAGAAGTGCCTCTTTTCTAAGATTCGCATTTCACCAACTCCATTGATAAGTGAAGATGCCAGCTGGTCGTCTCTCCACAGCAGAAAGACTAGCATTGTGTGTTTGCTGGCTCTAGATGGACGTAGGCCATCTGGATGCTTAGCTGTGTTGCTGTCAGTGTATTATCGGCTATCTTAAACATTCTTGTAGCCATTTTACAAGTAGATTACACCAGAGACAGGCAGTTGACTTGATTCACGGGCTGAGCCCAATGTGCCTTGGGTTTTTAATTCACTCAGAGTTCACTTATTGTCAGTCTGAGATGAGAATTTGTTTTGCTTCATTCTCCAAATGGGTTGATTTCATCAAGGTCAGGAAAAACATCTTCCTGAACTAAATGTTCCCTGAATGGAAAACAAGAAAAAACAAGTTGTAGCCCAGGAGAGTAACATAAGGTTACTCATTAGGGCAAACCTATTATGCCAGCATGACATGTCATGTCAGGGGGCAATATTTTTTTTAGTGGAAAGCCACTCCAAATTGCAGAGACAACCCAAATTATCTCAGCTAACTCTGTCATGTATATGAACCTTTTTCTCCCCACAGATCGCCAATCATAGTGGCTACGTGCAGGTGGACTGGAAGAAGGTGGAGAAGGATGTGAACAAAGCAAAGAAGCACCTGAAGAAGAAAGCAAACAAAGCAGCCCCTGAAATAAACACTTTCATTGAGGAGGTAAAGGTACCTGTAACAAAGCTTGCTCTTTGTTTCACGCTCTCTTCTTCTTTTGAAATCAATCAGGGCTGAGGTTTAGTGAACACTTTCTTCATGCTTTCCACACCTAACATGCCTCTGACATGTTTTTCATTAGAATTAAATGGATGTGTTTGTCTTGGATGTCCTGGTTCTGATGAGGAGGTTTACATCTTTATCTGCAAACCAGCTATGCCCTCTAGTGTACTGTCAGCCTTACTGCACCCACTGGCTGTGACACAGCAGGCTTACAGGGTAACTTCAGTAGTTTCCAATCTGGAGCCCATGTGTTTGTGTCTAGGTGACAAGAACAGTTTTTGAAATTGGACCAGCTGTAGTGTAACCACTTGGGCTAATAGCATAACATCAATGTACATTCCCTAAAAGTGTACAAGAGTTTTTGCCACTGACAGGCTCAGATTGTTATAAGTATCTGACAATGTTAAGGAAGACATTCCTACAGAGACACTAATAAGACCACTGCATGCTGCTTCTTTTCTGAGGATTCCTCACTTCCTCATCTTTCCAACCTGTATATGACACACGCACTGATCTTGTCAGAGTTCGCATTTCAGGTCAAGAAAAGCCTCTTGTTTTTTAATTCCAGCTGAGAACCAACTTTTTGAGTTCTGAGCCAATTTAATTTTGGTCAGAATGCTCTAATTGGTTGGAAGATAGGTGCAGAAACAAAAACAGAAGCACTCCGAGCCTGTCAGCAGCAAAAATAACCACTTTTAGAAGCTGTAAATTGACGATGCTGCGTTGCTTGTGGGGGTTACATTGCAGCTTGTTTTGTGCTCAACTGGACCAATTTCAAAAATTGTTGTTCCCATTAGTCACTTGGATGCAATTACAAGAAAAAATAGGGTCCAGGTTGGGAAATACCAAAGTTATCCTTTAACAAAGATGGAACAATAAAAGTAATCTGACTTCTTCTAACCCAGACTATGCTCACTTGCTATTAACACCTGTGCACTGGCTAATACAGTATGCTGTCTTTACACTCATACTGACTCATCGTCCATGTCTTCCCTCCTCTGCACTGCAGGCCACAGACTTCATAAAAAGGAACATCGTCTTGTCCAGCGGGTTTGTCGGTGGCTTCTTTCTGGGTTTGGCCTCCTAAAACTGCTGCCCATGAAGCGGGCGGCCTCTTACTGTGAAACGCATCGCTACATAGGTCACTTTCCTCTCCACTGTTTACCTCTCAGACCCATGTGTGCATTCATTCACCTTTTAACGAACTGACCAGGGGGGCGGGGTTATATCGAACATTAGAGCATGATCTGTTGTGACAGTGGTTTTAACTGTGTTCTACTCCCCCTGCTTCAAAGCAATCATAGCTGATTATTTCTCTTATGGAGGGCACATTCAGAAGTGTGTGTGGAGGTTGATGATGCTGTGAAGACTTTCTTCTGTGGGACCTGTAATGGATCTCTGTCAGACTGCTGAATATGCCAAGCTGCCACAAGCTAGCTCAGACTCTGCTCTGTGTCTAGCTCGTCCATCCCATCATGTATTCACCTGGTGGATCTCAGATTGTTATAAATTGGCGTGCGTGGGTGCCATTGTAAATACATAGCTGACCCCTTTTCAGAGGTGTAAATACCCACACAAGGGTAAATATTATATAAGCAGAGTGGGACGTTAACACCACCCCCCAGTCTAGTGCTTTTTGTAATGTAAAGTTTATGTGCCATTTAAGCATGTAAGCAAACACAGCTTTTAAAATTCGTCACACTGGCTGGGGGTTGAAACAAAGTTATTCTCCCTCTCTGAGCATAGCTGTTATTAATATACAACACATATCACGAGCATAAATCACACTGAAATTTTACATCTGTGCATGTTGTCTTTCTTTGCACTGACAACAGAGTATTAAATACAGATCCTTTGTTCCCATAATCCCCAGCTCCACAGTGGCCTTTAATGACAGGACGTGCATCTGCTGTACCCTAATTACCAGTGCCACGAGCTAGACACCAAATGCGACACCAGTCCTGTCATTAAAGAGCATAATGGAGCAGCGATTGTGACTCCCACGCCTTCGCTATTGTCATTGTGCATTTAGCAGTGTCAGTGTAGCAATAACACAAGAGACATGCTGCTGAGTCGTGCGTGTTCACATTATCTACACAGGACGTCCACACATACAGTAGGAGTCCACGAAAGACGATCACAAGTTGCTTATTTTGTTTTTTGCCTTTTTCTACCAGTGCAATATAAGGTGATGTTACGGTTATGTTTTTGACAGCTTATGTCTCCAGCTAGCGATTTGTATGCTCATATTCCCTCATTGTTTCTATTTAATGTCATTTTGTTATCTGAGCTGTATGAATTTGGTTGGGTGTCTTCTTGAAATAAAGTTGCCTGATTTTGTTTTGAACAAAAAGTGTCTTCATGTTGCAGCATCTGACAAATTTCAGCTGTAACTGAATTTATTAACAAGCGTGTCAAATTTGATGATTTAAAAAAGGGCTAAAGGAATTAACGTAGAGCTAGAACATTAAGTTGATTGACAAAGCAAGATAATTGTAAACTGATTATATTTTGATTTTCAACTTGAATTTTCACTACTTTTTTTTTTACTTTATTCACTAAAATACAAATTCATATTTTTACTCATAATTCATTTTATTAACATGAAGTGTTTGGTATTAAAATATCATTTAAAATAACCTGTAATGATGGATTCCAGCACAGTCCATAAAGCCCTACTGAATGAAGCTGGATGGTAACCAGGGTAACCCTTGAAGTCTCGCGATAGTCTAATGGATTTCTAGAAACGGTCATTCTCAGGCGCGAATTTTTTTCCTACGTTATCAGTCGGTTAGAGTCAGAATTGTTTGCAGTTTTAGTCCATATTACAAAGTTTGTGGAGTCAGTCGGTAAAAATATCCAGTCAGGATACCAGTCAACAAGGACGTTGAGTGATGTCATCTTTTAAGTCAAATGACAGCGACATGGGCGCTACGCTGCAAAATGGCGCCTTGACGCAAGTGGAGTCGGGACCGTTACAGTGATTCTGACACTGGAAGCGGGAGACCATCACAAATTACATATGGAAGTAAGTTACATTAGCTAACTGCTATATTAATTTTAGTCATTTAACACGTCATGATTGCTAGTTATGTTAATTGATATAAAGCAGAGTGATGCTAACAGTTGTTGGCGCAGTGTGCGAGCTAGGGCTAATGCTAAGCTAACGTTAGCAGGGCTCCAGACTGACTTTTTTTTTTTTTTAGTAGGAGCACTGTAGCCCCTGACTGAAACATTTTAGGAGCACAAGCAGAAAATTTAGGGGCTAATGTTAAAACGTCCTGCAACCAACTATTCACATTTTTGGCCATTTTAATTGCATCATGAACTATATGTAGTTTACTGTATATTAACATTGGACTGTTTTAACTCTTGGAAGAATTTAGCAGCACAGAAACTGGTGGTCAGTGAGATGTGAGGACTCTTAAAATAACATCTGTACAGATGTGAAGCCCTGACTATATCTGACGGATCTTTGATGAAAGCTGTTATCTTGTATTTCTTTCCTCTGAAAACATTAACCTAACAGTCAGACACAATTTATGTAGCCTGTGTAGTTGAGGGGACAGGTCTGCTCTGCAGCAGCAAACTGATATGATGCTGATTTACATGAGAATTCATGTAAATTGGAGGTTGAACCATGAACATAAATTACAGATCACCTGTAAAGAATTTTGTTAGCTTATTCTGAGTGTTTCTATGGCTGCATCCCAAGTCTCTTAAAATTACTGCTAACCACCTTATCTAGCCGCCTTATCTGACTGTTTAGTCCCTCCCACTTAGGAAAACATTTAAGGAGT